GGGATTCATGGACGGCTTTCGGCATCCCTGCAGACCCCAGCCCTGGGCTTTTTAAAATTTGAAAAATTTACATTTTTGGATTGTTGTTATCATTATTGTTATTGTTATTGTTATTATGTTTTATTTCTATTATTTTACTATTTGTTTTATTTTAATTTTTATTATTTTATATTTTTATTAATTTTTTGTTATTTATTTATTTATTTATTTATTCAGAGCATGAGCCCTTGTCCGAGCACTTTTTATCAGAGCCTTTCTTTGGGCCAGGCCCCTCGGTGGCGATGGCTGTGCCACCCCTGACAAGCCACAGGGAGCTGGCAGCCAGAGATAAGACGGGGACAGGGGCTCCAAACCCCCTGGTCGGCTGGGAGATGAATTTGGGGCGGGTTGTGTGCGGGTAGCACCTTTCAGTTGCTGGGTGTGCATGGCTGTGGCATCCCTCAGCATCTCTGCCGCTCTCCAGGGCTCTGCGCCATCATCCACTACCTCATCCATGGGCAGCTGGGCTGGCTGGGGCTGACCCTCGCCTGCGTGGTGCCCGGCTACGCAGCTCAGCTCCTCAGCATCCTCTGGTTCAGGGCGGACGGCTGCCCGCCCGACTGCTGGCTCCTGGTGCTCCATGTCCTGCAGCTGGGCCTCTGGAAGAGGTGAGAGATGCTCCCCATGGTCCACTCAGCCCCCCTGCTAACCGGGGCTCAGTCCCAAAGCTGCCAAAAATGGGGTGGACGTCCCATTGTGGTGACTCTTGCAGGTACTGGGATGTTTTGCGGATGGCGGCGAAGGCGGGCGGCAGTGCCCATGGCGGGGAGGTGCTGGCGCAGCACGGGGACGTGTGTGTGCTGCGGCTCCTGGAAGCCCTGCTGCAGACCCTGCCTCACCTGCTGCTCCAGACCTACGTCGTCGTGGCAGTCGACCCAGCAGGCTTCGTCCCCGGTGAGCAGGGAGTTCATAGAATCATAGAATCACTTTGGTTGGAAAAGCCCTTTAAGATCATCGAGTCCAACCATTAACCTAACTCTGCCATCCCACCACTAAACCATGTCCCTAAGCACCTCATCT